GGCCGGCGCCAGCTGCCGGGGCTTCGGCGCTGCAGGCTCCCGGCCGCTCCGCTGTCCGAAGGGTAGAGGGTCGTACGGGCTGGCGGCTCCGGAGGAGGTGCTCGCTCGGCTACGGGGTGTGCAGACGGAAGAGGAGAGCGCGGAGTGAGCGAGGAGGGGAGCGGGGCGGGGGGAGGGGAGGAGGGAGGGCGGGCCGCCAGAAGAGAGAGGCGGGCCCGCGCCTGCGCACCGAGCTCCGCCCGCCGCTGTGGGAGCGCGGCCGAGCGGCGGCGGGAGGAGGCGGAGGCGGAACTGGCCGGAGAGCCAATCAGGAGCGAAGACGTAACGCTTAGGCGACAATCCCTACCTCAGGCGGGGCGGGGCGGGGTCCTGAAGTCAGGCTCCCTTACTTCAGGGTATATGCAAATCAAGACGTACGGATGAATCCAGCCTCCGGATTGGATGAGGGGTTAGCCTCAAGGGCGGGCTTTTAAGAGGACCGCCTGGTGACTTGGCTGAAGAGGTCCAGCCGGAGGGGTGGGTGGGGCTGTCTGTGGCGCATGCGTAGGATGCACATGTGGCTGCTGTCCCAGACCGAACTGTGGCCTTGTGATCATTTGAACATTCTCTGAACGGAAGGACCCTGTTAAACAAGCTGTTAAAAATCGTCCTTCCCGCTTCCCTCGCCTCCGTGCTCCTCTGGCACCACAACTATTGTTTTGCATTTTACGGCGAGATTGGTAGGAAAATGAGAGGTGTTTGAGACTTAGGTACAGTTTACTGAAGATTTTTTTTTTTTTAATAAAAAGATCTTAAAATGATCTTCAAATAGATTTTAAAATTAAATAATCTTCAAACATTTTAAAATTAAAATGATCTTCAAATAGATTAAAAGATCACTAAATTTAAAAAAAGAATAGGTTTGTTTTATCTACCTTCCAGTTGGAAGGACCTCATAGTTGACCTTCCAGATCTTGAAGAGAAAGGAAACCACACGAGAAGAGATTGCTCATCTTTCTCCTGTGAGTCAGCTGGTGATTTGAACCGGCTGTCTTTGGGTTGGCAGAGCAAGCCCTTGCAGCCGTTGTTGTTGTAACTTAAGTGCTGTCGAGTCGTAGGCGACTCTTAGTGATCCTAGGAACGAAAGACCTGGACACTTGCATAACTTTCGTCCTTTGTCCAGGTTCACAGGGTTCCAGAGGCAAGCTATTACGGAAATGGATGCCACTCCTGCTTCCAAGCTTGTTTTAATCGGGGAGCTCCATCAAACACTGTCCACCATGGGTGACCATTATCGCATTTGACACATCAGTGTCACAGTGTTCAGATTCACAGCAACTATGAGTTACCCCTGTACAGCAAGGGGACAGCCAGCCATTAGGTTAAAAAAAAATTTAAAAAAAAAATTGATGGTGTCTTTGAAACACTGTCAGTACTTAAAGTCTGTGTGCCAAGGGCAAACAAAGCTGGTTCTCAAGGTTGTTCAGGTGTGAAAGGAGAATCCTAGACCTTGTAGGAATTGACAGATGATGGGCATCTGCTAACTGCTCAGGACAATGAGAGAGGGGTAAATGATGCTTAATAAATTTAAGTAGTCGCTCCTGCCTTCACTTGAATCTGGATGCTGATTGTGGTTTGTTCTTCATTTCTCTCCCTGCTGAAGAATGGGTGGCCTGTCACACAGGTGGGAACTGGAATGTCCTCCTGAACTCACTCTTAAGTAGCCTCCAAGCTTTGAAAAGGTAATCTCTGTGTCTCAGTGGATAAGCTAAATGGAATATGTTCAGCTTGTGCCACTTCCTTTTTCTAAGAGAGAACTGCTACAAAAACACTGAGGGGATGATTTAGACATATATCCTCAGGGGGCACATAGAGCCAAAAGGCGGATGGAATAGAGGGCAGCCCTTGTCTTTTCCTTCACAGTTTCCCCATTAAAGGTTACCTTGTTGGTGTAACCCATCAGGGGGTGTGCTGTTAATTCAATGGCTGTGCCTCTCTAGGGGTTCAGCCCCACCAGTGACTCTTCAAGAGAAAAATGAGCAATCTCTTCCCTTGTTATTTGCAGCCTCTGAAAACCCACTGGAGGGCCAGCTGAGAAGCTCTTCTGAGCAGCATAACAATGAGTTTGAGTTTCTGCATTCTACCATTAGTGATACTAAAGAATTAAGTTCTTTCCTTGTCAGGGAAATAAACCAAAGCCCTAAGGCTTACATATTACTCCCCAAATATAAACTGCCCTCACAAGCACCAGCCATGATTTCTCTCTGGGTCCCTAGGTAACGCCTGTGACACCATCTGTCTTTCTGTGATGCAGCTCAAGTTCAGTAACACTGTGTATACTACTCCTCCTTAACATATCTGAGCAGGTTTCCTTTCTTTTTCTTGCTTTCATCGTGAAGCAACCTGTTTAGTTATACTTAAGCCAAAAATACCTCATTCAAGGTTGAGTCATTTGTGATTCTTGCCATCAACTCTGTTATAATCTAGAAGAGAATATATGTTGTTGTTGGGTGCTGTCAAGTGGAGTATGGCTCACAGGGACCCTGTGAACAACTGTGCCGTCTGAACAATCTCTGACTTACTTGAGCCCTTTGAGGCAGTTGCTGTGCCAATCCATCTCATTGAGAATTTTCCCCTCTTTCACTCTCCCTCCACCTTAACAAGCATGATGTTCCTCTCCAAGGAATAGACAGCCCAAAGAATAACAAGAAATAACATGCCCAGAGTATGAGAGATGAACCTTTTATCATCTTTGCCTCCAAGGAGGACACTGGATACAACTTCCACAAGATATGTGTTTGTTCCTTTGGCAGTCCCTGGGATAGTCAGTACTCTCAGGCCACAACTTAAAGACATCAATTCTTCTTCTGCATCCTTACTCACTGTCCAGCTCTCAGATGCTTAGGAAGTGATTGAAAAAACCATGGCTTGAATCAGACACACCTTAGTCCTCAAACTGACATCATTGCTCCACAGTAATTTGAAGAGGTCCTTGACTGCAATGTTTCCTAGTGCAATACGTTTCCTGATCCATGTATAGATGTCTGTCTATAACACCGAACAACAACCACTATACACAAACAATTGGAATTCAGTCTTTACTCTCTTGGCTCTCCATCAACAACACATCATTGTCTTTTTTTAAAATTATTATTAAATTTTATTAGTTTTAATGAACATTTACAGAGATTTTGGGTTTTCATTCATTCATTGTTGCACTGTTTTCTCTACCCTCCTCCCCAGTTCGTTCTTCTCCCCCCTCACCCCCCCAATGTCTGTTTAACGCATCACTGTCTTGAAGGACATAATGACCTGGGAAAATGAAGAGAGAGAAAGAAAAGCTATTGAGGACCGACACAGAATTTTCCCACTCTGTTTTACAGTGTAACTGATGGTAACCTTCCAGAACTTGACCACAGAGAAAAGATTCAGGCTCAGGCCAGCACATAGATCAGTATCAATGTGGTGATGTCGTTCTATAATAAACTAGCTCCATCTTTCTTGAACCTCCTCCCTGAAACCAACAGCATCCTGGCCCCATTGAGTGTTCCTTTTACATTTCCCCTTGAATCCTCTTCTAGGTCAATTACACCTGGGTCCTGTCATCTACCCCTTACCCTGCACCATCTTCATTCCCACTGCCATCCCTGAAGCATCCTCTAGCCCTCTCTTGATGAAGGTGGTAGTGTTGTTTCTTATGTGCCATCATGTGGCCTGTGACTCACAGCAACCCTATGTACACTAGCTCTGGACCCTGCCCTATTTTGAGCCAATCTCATCATCCCTGACAGATTTAATCCCATTTCTCCAATCACTGAGTCAATCCATCTCATTCTGGATCTTCCTTTCCTGCGCTGTCCCTCCACCCTTCCGAGTATGATGTGCTGCTTCAAGGACTGGTCTCTCCTGGCCATCTGCCCAAAGTATGTGAGATGGAACTTAAAAATCCTTGCCTCTAGGAAACACCCTGGTCTCACCCTCTCTAGGACAGACCTGTTTGTTCTCCTGGTAGTCCACGGTATATTCAACACTCTTCTCCAGTACCACGACTCAAAGACATCAATCCTTCTCCTATCATCCTTAGTTATCATCCAGTTCTCTGATGCATAGCAGAGAATTGTGAAGACAAATAGTTGCCTGGATCAGGTACACCTTAGTCTCCAGACTGACATCGTTGCTCTTGATAAAGGTATCATTCCCTTTAACCATCTGTGGTGTTCAAAACGTCTCCATATTTAAAACAAAACTTACCCTTGCTAGAATCCACAGAAAGAAGCAGGAAAGTTAAAGAGAGGTAAGGACCCAGCCATTTCCAAATATTTCAGGCGCTCTTCAAGGGTTGCTAATGCCGTCTGAGTATTAGAATTTCCCACTGGCTCCTCTGGAGTGGTACGATCCAAACCTCACATTTCATTTCCGTCCACAAGGCCCCTCCGAGCTCCAGTTTTCCATGAGCTCTGACGTGGGGAAGGGGAGCTTGGTTCAGCCCCATTGTCCCAGGGTTCTTTTCTGCTGAACTATTTGTTTCCAGTTTCATTCTGCCACGGGCCACTGAGGCTGAAAATTCCACCCATGCTCAGCTCAAAGGAATGCTGCTCGTGCTGGCCAAACAGAGCTCGCCAGGAAATGGGTGGCTGAAATCCCCCTTTTCATTCGCGGTTTTCTCTCTAACATCTGGGAGACAGACTCGTCTGCTATTGCCTGCACCGTCCTGCCGACCTTTTCCACTTCTGAAGCAACTATTTACAGGTTACCTCTTCTGAGAAGACACTTCCTCATCTTCCTACAGGCAGATGGGTTTATTTTCTCCCCCCAAGTATCTTTGTATTTATTACTTTTTAATATAAAGATGTTTCTTTTCATTGTTGTACCTTTTCTTCCCAACTCCTTTCTCCCCTCCCTATGCCCTCCCTGCAATACACCCCTTATTCCAGATTGTTTTCATACACATAATACCTAATCATATATTCCTTTCAGAGGGTTCTTCCCCTCATCTGATCTGTTGCAGTGTTCATTATCTACTCTTTTCCTATCCTCTGCCCAAACCCTCTATCTCTGTCCTATTTTATAAAAACAGTCTTAATAAAAGTAGTGTTATGCTGTATTTGTCCTTTTGTGACTGAGATATTTCACTCAGCATGGCTCTCCCATGTTGTGTAATATTTTACGAGTTCATTGTTTTGCAATGCTGCATAATATTCCATTGTGTGAATATACTGTAGTTTTTGTATCCATTTGTTTGTTGATGGGCATTTGGGTCACTTCCATCTCTTTGCTGTTGGGATTAACAGAGCAATAAACATGGGTGTGCATACATCTGTTTGAGTCATGGCTCTAGTTTCTGTAGGGTACATTCCCAGTAGTGGAACTATTGGGTTCAATGGTAGTTCTATTTCCAACTCTTTGAGAAAGTGCTAGAGGGCCTTCCATAGTGGCTGTGCCATTTTACATCACCACTGTCTGTGAATAAGGGTTCCACTCTCTCTGAGACCTCACCAGCATTTGTTGAACTGGCCTGTTGCACTTGGCTCTTGTCACTGGCAGGTGGGTTTCTTGATCTCGAGAGGCCTTAGTCTTTGACTAGCTGGTATTTGATGTTATTGCTATGATTTGTTTTCTGTGGATCCATTTGTACACACCCCCCCCCCCCATGAATCATTTCATGAGTACTTACTATGCACCAAGAAACTCTAGTGGCCTAGTCCACGGAGATATACGCTGTTAATCCAAAGGCTGACCTTCCAGATGGTTCGGATCCACTACCAGCCCCTCAGGAGAAAGATAAACTCTCACATGTGATTTACAGACCCACAATCTTGCTGGACACTCAACCATGCATGAGTCAGTTCCAATTCAGTGACAGAGACTGAGTGAGTGACTCTGTACAAGGAGCCCCCGCAGAGGCACAAATGCTTAAGCGCCCAGCCACCTAGCTAAGATTAGTAGTTCACATCTCAACAGGAGTGCCCTGGGATGAAGGCCTGGTTGACTCTGTTCATCTGAAAGCTCACAGCCATTGAGAACCCTGGGAAGCACAGTTCAGCTGTAGCCATCATGAGTCAGATCTACCTGATGAGAACTGTTATTTTTCATTCAATGCCAGTCCCTATGTTGGGAACATGTAAAGATGACTAAGCCAGACAGAAGACATACCTTTACTGGA